TCCAGGATCTATCAGAAGACACATGGGCAATGACCCCAGAATCCTCACTTGGACTGCTTAAAAATTTGTTCTGCACAGTGGAGTGTGGAGTCATCTCAGCATGATTAGGCCAATCTAGCTATGACTTCATTTCCCATATTAGCCTCTTCTTAATTTTTCCTCTATGTGGAAAATTCCTACACTTTTTCTTGTGACAACCCCCAGTCTCCCATAACTTCCCCAACAGCGATCAGATACTATCAGATACCTGAGCCTGTGTTTGAAAGTGTAGGGCTGACTAATTCCCAGGAACCAAATGCCCTCAGCTTTAAGCAACTGCTCTAAGTGTGAAATTCCCTGCCTATTTTAGGAATAAATGCAATTTAAGAACAGGACTAGCTGAAGAAGCTGGTGCTATTTAAAAGAAAAAGGAAAGACACTTAACTGGCGCTCAAAGCTCGTCTGATACAAAATATTTGGTCATTAATTCATTGTCTGCTTAGCATTTCCTACAAGGTGGAGATACAGTAGTAGCAAGAGGAACTTCTTACAAGACAGGAAGACACGGCACACTCTCTGGAGTCTTGTTGGTGTTGGAACAGGACTCTTCTGATTTGGGTTATATACAGTTAAGTTTGTTTAGTGTGTGATCCAGAGTCTGATGTAAGCCCACATTCTCTTCTTTGGCCTGGACAAGTTTTTCTTCCAGGTTATCGATTGTTTTCCCCAGTTTGGATCCTGTCCTCTCTGCAAACTCAGCTCGGGTCTCAGCCTCCTTCAGTTTGTCAGACAGAAGCTTAATTTCTTCTTCATAGTTATCCTCCTTTTCAGAATACTTTTCAGAAATAGCCTCTAGTGACTTGAAGTTGTTAGTGACATTCTTGAATTCCTCTTCCAGGTCGCCACACTTTAGTTTGTACACCTCTGCACACTCCTCTGCTCTCCTCAGCTCGCCCTCCAGGTGCTACCTCCTCGGACTTGAGGTCAGCCTCCTTGGCTATGTGATTGGCCTCTTCAAGCTGCATCTCCTGGATCTCCGCCTTCTCATCTTTCATGGCTCGGTTCTCTATCACCTTCATGCCTCTCTATCTCTCTCTGATCTGCCGCCTTCTCTGCCTCCTCTAGCTTCTGCAGGGCTGTGGCCAGTCGCTCCTGAGCATGGTCCAGCTCCTCCTCCACCAGCTGGATGCGTCGGTTGAGCAGCCACAACTCCTTCAGCTATCTAGTGCTGCTTGCTTTTGGCTTCCAGCTGGTGCTGCATGCCCTGCACGTGGTCCTCTGCGTTGTACCTCTGCTGCTACTGCAGGGCCTGGATTTTGAGCTTCACTGCCTCCAGTGAGTTGAGGCCCACCATGGTGTGCTCCGCTGGGCTCCTGCAATGCTGGGCTGCTATGCCCAGGCCAGTGAGTCACGGCCACGCTGTGGGATCCACTCCTTTTTGTCTTTCATAAAAATAATAGGCTTCTAAGAGATAACAACAAAATATAACAATATAAAATACAGTAAGATAAAAACATCGCAACGATATTGGACAAGGCAAACCAGCAGAAGGAAAAGAGCCTAAGAGAACACACAAGAATCAGGGACCCATTTCTTCACATACTTAAGAGTCTCATTAAAAACACTAAACTCAAAGCCATAACATACACACAGAAGACCTGGTGAAGATCTCTGCAGGCCCGGTGCTTACAGCTTTAGTCTCTGTGAATTCATATGAGCTTTGCTTGGTTGATTTAGAGGGCCATGTTCTCCTGTTGTCTTCCATTTTCTCTGGCTCTTACACTCTGCCTTCTCTTCTGCAGGGTTCTCTGAGCTCTGAGGGAGGGATTTTATAAAGACATCCAATTTAGAATTGAGAATTCTAAGCATGCTCTCTCTCTCTCTCTCTCTCTCTCTCTCTCTCTCTCTCTCTCTCTCTCTCTCTCTCTCTCTGTGTGTGTATTGTCTGGATGTGGATCTCTGTATTTGTCCCATCTGCTGCAGGAGGAAGCTTGTCTGATGATGGCTGAAAAAGGCATTGATCTATGAGTACAGAAGAACATCATTAGGAGTAATTTTATCACTACTTTTCTTTTTAGTAACAGTAGTATTTGGTCTTTGGACTATCTAGTCTCAGGTTCTTGGCCACCCAAGCAGCACTAAGTATGGGCTTCATTTCATGGAGTGGGTCTTAAGTCAAATCACTTATTAGTTACTCTCACAAGGTTTGTACTACCATTGGCCTAGCATATTTTGCAGGCAGGACAGCATTGTCTATCAAAGGGCTTGTGACTGAGTTATTGTATATGTTTATCTTTTGATAGCCTGAAGAGTATCTTCCCATACCCAAAACACTAGAACATAGGGGTGAAGGTTCTATGTAGGCACAAGCTTGACCTTTCCTTATTCAATGAGTTATGTGGGAATCATCTTCAGCAATGGAACCTTGCTGTCAGTTTGTGAAGATCAACCTATTGTTTTGCAACCGCATGGGTTATTTGAGGATTTCTATGGGACCTCTTTAGTCAGCAACTCAATTGGATGTGATTCAATCCTGGTACTGGAAGCTTCATTTGGTGACAAGAGATGACATCCAGATAGGACTCTGTCTCCCTCATTATTTGGAGATTTTATTAGGATGGCCTTAATATATGTTAGGAAGTTTCTACTCCACTAGGTTTACATACCATCCCTCAAATGCCTGTCAATTTTAGCTTTTTCTCCCTGCATTCCCATCCCTCCCCACCTGATCCTCCCATTCCAGTCTTCCTACCCCAGTCCATCTACATCATCTACTCTATTACCCCCTCCCTTAAGACTATTTTATGTAGACATTATTTTTCTTAAGGTGAAATAGTGGCACTTACATCTTGGTACTAACTAAAAGATCTCTATTTGGACTTAAAGCCAGCTAAACAGAACAGAAATTATAAATGTCACTCTAATCACAGCTAACTACCTGTAGCTAGTGTGGTCATGGATCTTAGGGGAGAACTAATGGAGGCATGAAGGGAATTCCCCAGCATTGGCAAAGCTATGACTTTTCTATCTGAGGGGTAGGGAAAAATGAAGATACTCACATATTCTCTTAATGATTTCTTTCTTTATTCTATGATGTTCTCATCATGCTATTTATTCTCATGTTGTTCTTTCTCAATTGCTCTTTCCCTTCAACATTTAAATACCTCAACAGAATTTTTTTAGATAATACATGATTTAAAAAAAAAAAAGGTCACGCCGGGCGGTGGTGGTGCAGGACTTCAATTCCAGCACTTGGGAGGCAGAGGCAGAGGCAGGCAGATCTCTGTGAGTTTGAGGCCAGCCTGGTCTACAAAGCAAGTTCCAGGAAAGGTGCAAAGCTACACAGAGAAACCCTGTCTCGAAAAACCAAAAAAAAAAAAAAAGGTCACATACCATTTCTCAGGTGAATGATTACAGGTAAAAACATGCCCCAGGTAGGAGAAAAGCAAATCAAACTAACCCATGACTATGTAAACATTTTGAACTAACACCCTATAGTCATGAATCTGGGTTCCCTCTCCTATCACAGAGGGCAGGAGAGTGTTAGCTCAAGTCTCAGGACAGGGAGACACCTGGAATGTCACAGATACTTTAGTTCAGGCTCAGGTCCAATTATCATATATCTTTAGCATCAGCTCAAGTCTGCACTTCCAAGATACTGTGGCACTTTAAATCTCAAAATGTACTTTCTGCCCTGTGTGTGACTCCTGACTGTCAAAAGAAATCTGTAGCCTTATTTTTTTGGCTACAGAGTCAAATTATTTTCTGTAACCCTGACTAGTCAGAAATTATTTTTGCAAATTGAGATCAGGAATGGGTGCAAAGAATTAATCATTTGCCAGCTAGCAATAATTGGGCTGTTTTGTATTTAGGACCTAGCCAGACAGTTCAGTGTGTCCTTGTGAAGTAAAGATTGATTTTTTCTGAGAATGTTTATCTTAAGATCATTAGCAAGGCATCTGGTCTAATCTAAAGCTATCTTGAAGCTTAGTACTAACTAATGGCACATAAGAAACCAGTGGCTGTGTTTCCCAGCATTAAGATCAAAGGAATTTAAATGAGCCTGGCTCCTGCACTCAAATATTTTCCTAAATCATAATTCGGAGCTGTGATCTAAAGCAGCTCCTCAGTGGGACTCATAAGCCCTGACTATGTAGCATTTCCTTGTATTCATTTTTATTCATCAAAATTCTCATTACCAATTTAGACAGTACAGTTTAAGGAGGAGTCATCTTCCTGACAATCCACAGATATAAATGCCCAGTAGATTGGGATGTTTTCATTATATAAACATACTACAATATAGGCAGTGGGAGACTCCCCATAGTAACACACTTCATAACAGATGCCAGAGAAAGATTGTAGCAGCAAATGTGTAGAAGGACAACAGAAGCAAAAAAACATTCTGGAGTCTGTAGCTTCATGGCCTAGCTTAATGAGGTTTATATCCATCAGAGTTTTTCTTCTGGTGTGCTGACACCCTGAACCCCAATTTCCACCTGCTGTTCCTCTGATATGGCAGAGAACCAATGATCCTTTGGATAGTAATGGGAGCCAGGCATGGTGGTGTACATCTTTAATTTTAGCATTGATGAGACAGAGGCACATGGCCCTCAGTGAGTTCAAGACCAGAGTGGTATATGTAAAGAGTTACAGGCCAGTGAGGGCCATATTAATAATAATATAAAATAAAATAAAAATGGGATATGCACAGGCTGTATCTCATTTCCATTTTAGTTCTTATTTATCTGGTGACTAATGAAAATTAAATTATTCCTTATACTAGATCATTCCTTTATTAAACTTATGAAGTTTCTTAGAAAATTTAACAAATTTCAATTAAAAGTACATTTTCTATGTTTAATTTATTTATTTAGAACAACGAACAGTGGGTGAAAAATTTTAAAACACTAGATGAATACATGTTGGATGATTTCTCTTTGCTTCCTATTAAGCTATATACACACATAGAAATGAAAATGCCTATATTAAAATTTATAGGATTCATTTTATGTAAAATATTAAGAAAAAACATTGCATAATATTTTCCACAACCTTTGTAGGGCACATTTTACATCTTTGTTCCTTAGACTATAGATCAAGGGATTCAACATGGGGATAACCAGAGTATAAAAGATGGATGCCACCTTATCAGTGTCAAAGGAGTGACTTGACTTGGGCTGCACATACATAAATATCAAAGTCCCATAGAAGACAATGACCACGGTCAAGTGGGACCCACAGGTAGACAAAGCTTTCTGCCTTCCTTCAGCTGAATTCATCCTAAAAATGGCTATAAGAATGAGTAGGTAAGAAAATAGGAGGACCACTAGAGAGGAAACCAAATTAAACCCTGCTGAAATCAAAATTATAATTTCAATTTCATGTGTATTTGAGCAGAGCAATGATATTAAAGGGAGACTATCACAGAAATGACTAATGATCCTGTAGCCACAAAAGGGTAGAGCAAAAATTTTTATAGTGATTAGAAGAGAAATAATGACACTATAGAAATAAGGAACTGCCACTAACATCCAACATACCCTCTGTGACATGATGACAGTGTAGAGCAGAGGCTTACAGATGGCCACATAGCGGTCATAGGACATTGCAGACAGAATAAAAAGTTCACAAATGATGAACACAAGAAAGAAAGTTAGCTGTGTTGCACAAAGGTGATTAGTGATTGTATTTTCATCCACGACAAAATTTACCAGCATTTTTGGTCCAACAGCTGTAGAATAACCAAGATCAGTGATAGCCAGGTGTCTGAGAAAGAAGTACATGGGTGTTTGCAGCCGGGGATCCACCATGGTGAGGATGATCATGCCCGTATTGCCCACCAGTGAAATTAGATAGATGATGAGGAACAATCCGAACAATGGGGCCTGTAGCTCAGGATGGTCATTGATGCCTAGCAGGATGAATTCAGTCACCACTGTGAGGTTGGGTGTCTCCGTCTGGCCTTATAACTAACTGGTGTTCTGGATTGATACATCAGTCCACCCAATAACTTTTCTGCATTATCTTCTGGGAAAATCTGTAACAAATGTAAATTAGACACCTCTGAAATTTCCAATTATGTTATTTGCAAATGAAAATATCTTTACTATAAAAATGTTAACTAGAATTTAAGAGAGACAGAGATAGATTAGGGGTTTTCAGTTAAGTTTTATTTAAATAATGCAGTACTAACTCAGGGCATAATTGCATTGTCTTTGTCAGAAGTGAGACAAGATATAAATAGAAAATGACATTTAAAAGTAGAGTCAATGTTATGAATTTTGTAGTTTCATATATAATTATTATTTTACTATTTAAAAGTTTTCAGCTAGTTGTTTTTATAAAGTCAATGTTATAGTGGGTCTTATAAATTGCTTTTAGTAATATGATTAAATAATTATTTTGATGTTATAAAAATAGCAAACCTCAAATTTATAAAGCATGTAGGAACTATTATGTAAAGAAAAGTACCATGAAGTCTTTATTCCAGAATGTGTTGTAACCTGGATACACTGGATGAGTGTTGGACAGTGTCTGAATGAGGAAACAGAGCAGTGGCTGGAGTGATAGCTCAGCAATTAGGAGCAACTGCTGACCCTGCAGAGGATCCAGGTCTCACTCACAGCACCCATGTGGCAGCTTACTTAACTCCTATTGCCAGGTTTCTTATGCTCTCTTTTTGCCTCTGAAGGCACCAGGCATGTACATGGTGCATATCCATCAATGCAGCCAATTATTTAGCTATATATACATAATAAATAAATAAATAAATAAATAAATAAATAAATAAATAAAATTTAAAATAAGAAAACAGATCATAGGGTCAGAGTAAACATCAGAGTGGATATTAAGTGTCTTTGTGTGGAAATAAAAGTTTGTTATATTTTGATTTTTAATAATTGTGTCTTGACTAGAAAAGTTTAGAAAAATGTGTACAAGACACACACATACATAATGTGCATAATATTTATACATTAGTATTTTCAGTGCTATATCTTGTTCTAATCCTAACAAAGGGTTATTTTGGCAAAAATGCTTGTTTCTAAAGCTCATTAATACTTATGGATATATAAGCATGTCCTTGAAAGTCTTCTGAGAGGAGGAAGGCATATATCTACAAACTAGTCTCCTATTTTAAAGCTTTTGTGAGTACCAACACTGCCTTAAGAGACAAATGAGCCCTACACAGATATGATAATTGTTAATGAAAATAGTAGAGAAAAGTCTCTAAATTAACTGTGATGAAAATAAAATCATATACTTTGTTACATTAAACATACAGCTCATTAATTATGACAAGAAAGTACATTAATTGAAATATTGCTTATGATGTTGAGACCTCATTATGTATTACCAGCTTCCCAGAATATGTCTTCCTCACATGAGAAGTACAGAAATTTAAATCAGATGAAATTATCAGATAGCTACAGTAAATATTAAAAACCATAAATTTATTCTTATTTTTCTTCATCTTCTTTCTACAATCATCAAATACTATAAAGCATAATGTGTGTTGTCAATAAAACTTTTCTATGTATCAGATAATGAAAAGACATTCTTTTAGAGTTCTATGAAAAGGAACATAATTTTCTTATAATGTTGTCTATTGTTTTTAGATTTTTTTTTTTTCCTGGAGCCTGTCAGATTCCACTAGAATGGAAGAACATTCTTGACACTGCATCATGGACATACGTCTGAGTACTTCAATACATATATTTTCATAATCATGTTCTTTATGGGGAAACGTGAGAATTCCCATTTTACTTTTAAATGTACAGTGGAAGAATTGAATTTGTACATATACTTAAATAATATTTGAAGCCTGGATTGTTTTTCAAAAGATCAAAAAGAAAATCTAAGGAAATCCAATGTCTAAATATTTGGACTTTCAAAAGAAAGCTTTGATCTCTGCAGCTGTGTGATTCTGCCGTTAAAAATACTAACGAAGTATCTTTTCAGCAGCGCTTCATTGGGTCTGTTTCTTTTCTGTTAGAGATAAAGTTAGCTATATAAAACTTAATCATTGAAAGCAATACCATGATTTTTAAAAGACTCTTCTGGGCATATAGCTTGTTCACCCACACTATAATATTAAATTATAAATGCAATAAATAAATAAATAAAATAAAAATGTAATAAATAAAATGTGGGGAGCTATTTATATGCAGGCATTGCAGAGTGATAGAAAGCATTGCAGGAATCTTTGAAAGAATCGTGAATGTATCTAGCATACTTCCTCATAGAAACAGTCTGCTTATTACCTACAACGACATCCATGAAGTTTCTGTCTGGCTCTGGCATGTCATCCTTGCACTACTTAGAACAATTTATGAATTTATGTATTCTAATCTTTGGAGACTTGATGCTTACTAAAGAAATGCCACGCAATTAGTTGCATGTCCCTAAAGTATATGAGTTTGAAAATACTTAGGTTTTTGCTTACTGATTGTTAGTCAGGAACATTAATTGCAGGTGATTCATTTAAGGGTCTTCAGCAAATAGGATTCAAACTAACTATCTCCCTATGTGTCTCTCTATCCCTCTGAGTCTCTGCCTCTACGTGCATTTCTCTATGTGTGTGTGTCATATGGAGACTAAGAAATTCCCCAGAATGACTGTGAAATACAAGTGGGTCTAGTCTTAGACAAAAGGCTTAAAAACTCTGATGGCCACAGCTTGATGGCAGGCCAAGAGGTTCCACTGTAATTGTGTGCTTGTGTGTGTGTGTGTGTGTGTGTGTGTGTGTGTGTGTGTGTGTGTGTGACATATACATCATTTTATTACAAATATAATTACATTTGTTTCCCTCTTTCTCTTTCCTCCCTCCAGTTTTCCTATGAACTCCTCCCTTGTTCCTGTTCAAATTCATAGACTTTATTTTTAATTGTTTTTACAAGTGCACACACACAAACACACACACATACACACACATTCCTAAGTATGTAAAATTATATATATTTCCATATGTGTGTCTATCTGTCTGTCTGTCTGTCTGTCTCTCTCTTGTGTGTGTGTGTGTGTGTAAATACAACTTGCTCAGCCCAAATAACGTTACTTGTATGCATGTGTTTTAAGGGCTATCCACTTGTTATTGGGTAACAGTTTGGGAGGTCTATCGTGTGAAGACTGCATCTCCTGCTCTCAGAATTCCTCATTTGCCTGTAGCTCCATGTCCATGGTTGAGGCCATAATAGATTTCCCTATGCCTATTTATTCTTTACATGGACTCATCAAAAGACCTTTTCAAGTGCTAGTAGAAATAATAGTCATTGACTATTGGGGCATTCTTTAGGTCTGTCAAATTCATACGTAAAATTAGACATTACAATCAAACTATTAATAACTGGAAATTATATCCACCTCCTTAAATCATATTTTCATTACAAATGAAGACATTATAAGGTCATAATTCTGGCTCTTGTAATTCAGCCATCCCATGAACAAATGGAAACACACTGACTCCTTTTACAGTTGAAAAGGAAGGCCCTAAGTGATGTGTCCTCCGCTGATATTCAATACACAAGACTAATTAATAAACTAAAATTCACACTGGGACATTTCATTTTATTTCTTCTCATTTGATCTTTGAAATTTTATAGAGGCAAAGAGAGTGCCTTATAAAAAAATCCACATATTTAGATCTTACTTATTTCTCTATTTAACTGCACTATATCATTTAATTGGAAAATCAATACATTTACATTTCAGGAACCTCATAATAGGTAATGTCTTACTAAATAAATATTGTCACATTTTCTAATTTTTTATTATTATTTTATTATATTTTTTTCTTTATGGGCTACTCTAATAATGTCTTTGGATTTGTTGGTTGTCTAGAATGTAGTTATGGATTCTGCAGATTTATTAATGTGGCAGTTTTAAGCTCTCTTTCAAGATCCATAACTTCACCTTCACTGGATGGCTGGTCAAATCTCAGTACCAGGCATGATTTTCCTCTTGTTCAGTGAATTTTAAGTCCAATTAGAGAGCTGTTGGTTACTGTCAAAGTGTGCAGACGACTATTGCACTCTTAGGGTTACCGTTTCATGCTGTTCGTTGTTGTGGCTTGTAAGCATCATAGCTGGGTATGACTTTTGGTTGATTTCCCGCTTTGAAAGCTTTCATGGTGTCTTCTGATGAAAGCTAGTCATCAGATCGGAAGCATTCAGGTCAGTTCCAGCTCAGGGGCCTCTGGATCTGAGTCCATGTTGTCTTCAGCAACAGGAACTTACCTTCAACCACTAGAGGGCAACGAAGGGCAATAGGAATATGCTTCGTGTTTTGGGAGTCTGTAGACATCTCTGATCAAAAACTAAAAGGATGTCCTGGGTTTTTTGTTTTTCCACCATAAGAGCACTTGTTCAGTTATGTTCATATCAGCATTGTTTGTAATAGCCAGAACATGGAAACAACCTAGATGCCCTTCAACTGAAGAATGGATAAACAAAATGTGGTACATATACACAATGGAATACTACTCAGCAGAGAAAAACAATGGCATCATGAGGTTTACAGACAAATGGATGGATCTAGAAAAAATCATCCTGAGTGAGGTAACCCAGACTCAGAAAGACAAACATGGTATGTACTCACTCATAGCAAGATACTAGACATGAAACAAGGATGACTTGTCTGCTACTCACATCACCAGGGAGGCTACCTGGAAAACAGGACCCCAAGAAAGACACAGGGATCACCCAATGACAGAGAAATGGAATGAGATCTACATGAACAGCCTGGACATGAGTGGCGGTAATGAAAGGCGAGGGTTGAGGGAAAGAGAGCTTGGGGGAGCGGGAGATCCCAGCTGGATCAACAACAGAGAGGGAGAACAAGGAATAGGAGACCATGGTAAATAAAGACCACATGAGAATAGGAAGAAGCAAAGTGCTAGAGAGGCCCACAGAAATCCACAAAGATACCCACACAACAGACTGCTGGCAGTGGTCGAGAGACAGCCCGAACTGACCTACTCTGGTGATGGGATGGCCAAACACCCTAATTGTTGTGCTAGAAACCTCATCCAACTACTGAGGGATCTGGATGCAGAGATCCATGACTAGGCCCCGGGTGGATCTCTGGGAGTCCAATTAGCGAGAATGAGGAGGGTTTATATGAGCGAGAATTGTTGAGACCAAGGTTGGATAAATCACAGGGACAAATAGCCAAATGAATGGAAACACATGAACTATGAACCAATGGCTGAGGGGTCCCCACTGGATCAGGCCCTCTGAATGGATGAGACAGTTGATTGGCTTGATCTGTTTGAGAGGCATCCAGGCAGTGGGACCAGATCTTGTGCTCATTGCATGAGTTGGCTGTTTGAAACCTGGGGCCTATGCAGGATTGTTTGGCTCGGCCTGGGAGGAGGGGACTAGACCTACCTGGACTGAGTCTACCAGGTTGACCTCAGTCTGTGGGGAAGGCTTTGCCCTGGAGGAGATGGGAATGGGGGGGGGGTTGGGGGGAAGGTGAGGGGGACGGGAGGGGGGAGAACAAGGGAATCCGTGGCTGATATGTAGAACTGAATTGTATTGCAAAATAAATTAATAAAAAAAAAAGAAAAAAAAAAAAAGAAATGTTTTCAAACTATAAAAAAAAAAAAAAAAAAAAACTAAAAGGAGGGCTATTCAAGCTTGCTATTGGATTTTTGTTACTGGTATTTGGTTCTTGGGAGGAATACCATCAATCCAGATGGGAAATTTTCATATATATATATATAAAATATAATATATTTCATTTATATATATAAAATATAATATATTTCATTTATATATATAAAATATAATATATTTCATTTATATATATAAATATATAATATATGTATGTGTGTGTATATATACACATATATATACATATATATATGAAATGTATATATATATACATTTGTGCATATTATAGGTTTTAAGACAAATAGTCGTATAATTCCTTATGACTTTTTATTAAGACAGCTTTACTGTTATTTTACCATGTCTCTCATCCCTCTGTAGTTATCTCTTTCTTCCCTCTATAATTAGAACCCCTCTCCCCTTTTCCGATTTCCCTATCAGATCATGAGTACTGTTCTATTCTTATCTTTAGTCTTTGCCTACCCTAACACTGAAATGGTCCCTTTTTAGTTTCTGGTGAGGGACTTTGTATCACATCTGAATACTTGGAGCTAGTAATCACAGATGAGAGAGAACATGCAACACTTGTCTTTGTGGGTCTAGGTTACTTCCCTAAGTATGATCTTGTCTTGTTTGGCTTGATCATTTCTGTTGTCCATCAATTTACCTGTAATGTTCATGATTTCATTTTTATTTGCACTTGAATAATATTCCATAGAATATTTATACTACATCTTCATTCATCAGTTAAAGAACATGTGGGTTGTTTCCATTTCGTAGCTTTTGTGAATAGAGCAGCATGAACCTGGCTAAGCAAGTATCTCTGGAGTAGGCTGTTGAATCCTTTGTGCATATGTCAAAGAGTGGCATAGCTGGGATATATAGCTTTATGTTATATTCCATAACTAAAGTAATTAAAAGACAGAGTACTGGCATAAAAATGGACATGTAAATATTGGAAGAAAATTGGAGGGCCAAACCTGAGTACAAGTCACTTCAGCCATTTAATATTTGACAAAGATGACAACAACAACAATAACAATAAAAACTGGAAAAAAGAAAGTGTCTTCAACATAACAGTGCTAGGGGACATGTATATCCACAGGGAAAAGAATGAAATTATACTCATATCTATCTCCTTCCACAAAGACTAACTCCAAATGGATCAAAGACCTAAATGTGAAATCCCGACACTGAAACTTTAAGAGGAAACTCAGGGAGTACCATAGGGTATATAGGTGTAGGAAAGGACTTCCTGAATGGGACTTCATTTGCTCAAAATGAAAGCCAACAATTGACAAGTGGGAAATCATAAAACTAAGAAGCTTCTGTAGTGTCATAGGTGAAGAGGAAGCCTGCAGAATAAGCAAAAGTCTTTATCAGCTATACATCATACAGGAGGTTAATATTCAGATCATAGGAAGAACTAAAACAAGCAAACTAATAGTCAAAAATCCAAATGTCTCATTCAAAAATGCACCTGTGGTCTCAACAAAGAGTACTAAAAAGAAGAAAAAGATGACTGAAAAATATTTTTAAAAAGTGTTCATCATCCCTACCAATTAGTGAAGTGTAAATCAAAACAGTTTTGAGATTAACAGATCAAGCAATGACAGATGTTGGGAAAAGGGAATCCTCCTTCACTCTTGGTACAATTGCAAATTCTTCTAACCACTCTGTAAGTCAGTGTGGGAAATTTCAAAAAAGCCAAAAATAATTCTCATACTATGAAATATAGACACGTTATTTTTGACAAAATCAAATGCTACACTGACTGAGCCATTGTAAACATGCTGCTGTATTAAATATTAATAACTTGCTAAGGCAGTCAGTAAAGGTGAAAACACAGACAACAGAACATGAGGACCTTAGTTTTCCTGTGTGGGATGTGGCTATTTGAGAACAGTCAGATGTCTGCGTTCCCTGTCCTACTAATAAGAGTGAATATAAATAACATCATAGACAACTATTAAAGTTAAAGGAGGAGAAATGTGAAAAATACAGTTAGATAGACACAAGGGCATTGATTATTTTATTAGAATAATTTAAAAAATACAGGATCACGTCCTCACATGTCACACAGTACAATGATTCTATTTATCTGCAGTTTTGGTCAATTGCACACACAAAAATATCGCATCAGTAACTGTATTTATAACTCATCTCTTTCTTGAGGAAGTATTTTGCTCTTCTGTTCCTGATTATAAGGATTTGATTGTGACAATACATGGCATGGAAATTCTAAACATGTGTAGAGGCATCATGGACTTGCTCCTCTTTATAAGTCTCATAAATGAAAGAGTGACATCCATATGATGACTTGCTAGAATCACATTGCTCTTTAACTTTAAGAAAAAGTATTGGGCAATGTTTCCATGTCCTTTGTAGGGAACATTTTACATCTTAGTTTCTCACATAATAGATCAAGGCATTCAACATGGAGATGCCAGGGTATAAAACAAAGAAGTTACTTTGTCATTGCATAGGAATGATGAGACTGTGGCTGCAGACACATAAATATCAAACTTCCATAGGAGACATCCAGGACTGTGAAGAGGGACCCACTTATTGAGAGTTTTTTAGATTCCACATGTAAAAAAAGTCAGAGATTATTCTTTGTCTCCTTTTTCTTTTCTTAAGTCTCAAGGATAGAAATAATTATACTTGCTCTTCTTGTCTTTCATCATCTAAGATTTCTAGCAGAACATTATATGAACTCATGTGATTGTGTATATAGACATGCTTTATATTTTACAATATTAGGAATTAGAGCAGTAGATATGAAATGTACGTGAAGGGATCATGTTTTTAGCTTAAATGAATTTATTGGAAGGGAACAAGAAGCAGGATATGTGGCATGATTTGTGGAAATGAAATCCAAGTAAAACTTTACATTATAAAACCTACAAATATATGTCATACAAAAGTGATCACTATGAATTAATCAATAATTAGTTTTCTGTATATCCATACTTATCGCGTAGAATCTTGGCCATTTGAAAAGAAAGCATTACCCAGCTAAAGGAATATTAGGTATGCTACATATAAACTACCACGTATTTTCTTTTTACTATATCCTATCCTTTTACAATTTAAGTAGAATATTCACACACATTTTACATTTTCTATGAATGGCCTGCTTCACCTCTTTGTTCCTCAAACTGTAGATCATGGGATTCAGCATGGGTATAACCAGTGTATAGAACACAGAGACCATTTGACCAGTTTCAAATTAATGATTGGACTTTGGGTGTGCATACATAAAAAATAGAGTCCCATAGAATATTACTATCACTGTCAGATGGGAGCCACAGGTAGAAAAGGCCTTGTGCCTGCCCTCTGAAGAGTTCATCCTGAAAATTGCTACAAGGATCAGGATGTAGGATATGGAGATCACCAGAAGAGAAGAAACCAAATTAAAAGTTGCAAAGATTAAAATTATCAGCTTAATTTCATGTGTGTCTGAGCACAGCAATGATATCAGTGGCAGACTGTCACAGTAGAAATGTCTGATGATATTATGGCCACAAAATGATGAAATGAAAATCTTAATAATTGTCAATAAAGATATAAAAATACTATAGAGGTAAGGTATTGCCACCAGCACATGGCACAATCTTTGTGACATGATAATTGTGTACAGTAGTGGATGGCAGATGGCTACATAGCGGTCATAAGCCATAGCTGACA